TCCTTCCTTCCTTCCTTCCTTCCTTCCTTCCTTCCTTCCTTCCTTCCTTTTCTTTTTTGGTTTTTCGAGACAGGGTTTCCCTGTGTAGCTCTGCCTGTCCTGGATCTCACTCTGTGGACCAGGCTGGCCTTGAACTCACAGAGATCCGCCTGGCTCTGCCTCCTGAGTGTTGGGATTAAAAGTCTTGGCATCCTCCAGGTACACATACATGTACATTCCTTCAGGACCTTTATGGCCCGTTGTCCCCGCAGGGCTTCTCACAGGTGGGGACCCTGACAGTAAAAGCGCCCGACTGGGAGAGGAGAAAACAGAACATCAGTAAGAGAGGTGGGGGCCTCGGGAGGAAGGACTCGTGCTAAACTGGCATGCCTCCGTGTGCTAGGAGCTGGGCACTTCAACAGGGCACAGGGAAACCCACAGCATCCGACTTTCCTGGGAACGAGCAACTTACTTTTCACTCTGTGGTCTGAGCTTTACAATTTTAAAATGAATGCATTTTATATTACATTAAAATGAAGACCAATTTTGACAAAATTTAGACAGGAAAAAAAAAAAAACCCCACCAAGCCTGAGAGCTGGCTCCGCAGTAAAGAGCACTGGCCGCTCTTGCAGAGGACCTGGGTTTGATTCCCAGCACCCACATGGCCGCTCACAAGCATCTGTAACTCCAGTCTCAGGGGATCTGAAACCCTTTTCTGAACTCCATGGGCACTAGGCATGTTGTACATATACATACATACACACCCATACACATTCAATAAACTAATAAAAACATCTGCAACATGGGAAAATGAAAAATGACTTCAGAGAAGGATGGGATACAGCACTTCAGTCAATGTGTACACTTATTCTCCACCATGGCAGAGCATACGGGAGGTGCTGGACGTACATTCCAGGGGGGTTTGATGCCTCCTCCTGCTCCATCCCAGAGCTGACCATCAGCATCCTCCCCGCATCATCTCTTGAGTGCATGCAGGATCTGACTGTCCCCACCTCTGTCACTGCTAAGTTCTCTAGCTTCTTTGAGCTGTCCCTCAAACCAACGCGGACGCTTCACCTCGAGCCATCCTTCCTGGACCACAGAGGATCCAGACCAATTTCTCTGGGTAGAAACCTAATAATGCCCTCCCCGGATTAAACCCTTCAATAAATCCTCCTTGTGAAAAGACAGAACCAAGGCAAATGCATATACCCCCTTTAATCACAGGCTTAGGGCGATCTGCGGCACGCTTTGCCAGCACGCTGTGGCCACCCCCCCACTCTTCTCCTGGACAGCTGCTGCAGCCCCGCCAGCCTCTCCACTCGGTCTCGGCCAAACAGTCCTTTGCCTGGCGACTTCTGCACTTGAGCCTTTCTCTACCTTGAACCCATTCCATCCAGGCTAAAGGTCATCCCCAAGGGCTTCCAGTGTTTATCCTGGCACGGGAATATGGCTCCCAGGACTTTTCAGTAACGCAGAGGCCTCGCTGGGTGCCCGCAGCCGCCCTGCAGCTCCTACACTGAACATTCCCTGAGGCGGAGCTGTCTCACTTCTGCGTCAGCCCTCAGACAGAGCCTGGTGCGCGGTGGGTACTCCAGCAACGCGTTGACCGACCAGCGACGCCGTATTTCATGTACCTACGTGATTAAGTATTGATGTTTTACAGGCATTTACTATTTAACTGAAATACTTCTGTTCTGGAAAGCATTTTAGCAGCTGGACAGCTTGTGAAAACGTTCTCAGCGTATACAAGCTTCTCTGGCAGCTCATATCACTAAACAGAGGATCACAAGCTCTTTCCCACAAATAAAAAGAGCAATGCATCGTTGGAAGTTTAAATCCAGTGTAAAGGAGCGGCCAGTCGATTGTGTAGAGAACTCGAAAGTACAGATGTCTCTGTTAGCACCGTAAGCACACATCTCCAGGCTTCTGATTCCTGTCAGCTCATTCTCGTCCGAGTGGGAGCATGCCATCCCACTCCAGCCCCAGAGGCAAACTCTGTCCTCGGGTGTCTCTCCACCTGTCCGTCCCACTGCTCTTCAGAGCGGCTGCCTCTTCCCCATCTTACCTGCAGAGCCCGCTCCAACCCCAGGCCGGCTCTCAGCAATCTGCCACTAACACTGCTTTAACAACGCTCAGCAGTGACTCCTATGCTGCCAAATCCAGGTGCTACTTCCTGTCACCTCCCCCAGGTCACAGAAGCCATCCCATGGGCCTGGTGGTTTCCTCCCAGAAACGGGGAGCTTTTCAGACCCCCGGTTCCACTCCTTTCCTGTGGGGCCAGCTCCTGTGCTGCCCTCCGCGTGGCAAAGATGAGCTGAGCTCAGTTCCTCTCTGCCAGGAAACCCCTAGGGCTGGAAGAGGGCGGTTCTGCTTGTTTTTAGCTAGGGCTGCCCTTGGTGAGCCATTTATGATTACTTCTTCCTAAGAACAATAAGCCAATTCAGTATTCGTCTCCAGGAAACCATAGCCCTATAACCTTCGTAATATAATGATTAACAAGGGATTTTCCCATCTTATGTTACAGTAACATTTTTATCCGGGCCGTGGCAGCTGAGAATGAATGTTTAGCTGAGTCACTAAGTTCTGACTAAGGACATTAAGGGGAAATGCCACGTGACCCCTTCACAATCCGCAGAGGACGGTGTTTCCCCCAAGCCCGCCTCTGTCCTAGTACCTGGAATGCAAAGCCCTCCATCCTCTGCCAGGAGTCTGAGGCCAAGGACAACGGAGCAGTAGGACAGAAAGCTTTGGCTCCCTGGCATTATGGGGTGCAATGTCAGGCTGACAGCACACCGAGCCCAGTCTCATGGGGTCTAAGGAGCACATTTCCAGCTTGGTAAGCCCACGGGCGTTCTGGCTGTCCGCCACCGAGAACGGAATCCATTTCTTTCTTTCTTTTTTTTTTTTGGTTTTTCGAGACAGGGTTTCTCTGCGTAGCTTTGCACTTTTCCTGGAACTCACTTGGTAGCCCAGGCTGGCCTCGAACTCACAGAGATCCACCTGCCTCTGCCTCCCAAGTGCTGGGATCAAAGGCGTGCACCACCACTGCCCGGCCGGAATCCATTTCTAAGCAGTCCTGTAATCTACCCTCCATGCTCTACTGCGACAGGTGTGTCAAGATGCCTACCAACTGTCTCAAAGCACATATGCTTCCTTCACAGACAGACAGACAAACAGACAAGGTCCAGCGGCTCCAGTGAGAGAAGAGTTACTAGCATCTACGTTTTAACTAGTGCCCGCGTCCCTGTTATCTAGCCTCTACTCTGGTTATCTTTTCTTTTAAGTGCTGGAAGCTGAATGCAGGGTCTCACTTTGTGGGCACCCCTGTGCCCTCCCAGTGAGCTCCATCTCCAGTCCACTTTCAGTTTGCAATGACCAGAGATGCGTTCCGAGTGTGGTGAAAACCAAGTCTCCGCACTTCCGTCTTTCTACTACATCCCACGCTGCTGCCTCAGACCTCAAGCCTCCCCACCGCCTGGCCCCGCCCCCGCCTGGCCCCGCCCCCTGCCTGGCACCGCCCCCGCCTGGCACCGCCCCCTGCCTGGCACCGCCCCATCCTGCCCTCTTCCCTTGTTTTGCTTTTTTTTTTGAAATAGGATATCATGCTTTGCTGCCCAAGTTGGCCTCCAACTCAGTATGTAACCCAAGTCGGCCTTGAACCCACAATCTTCTCAGCTTCCAGGCCAGCAAGTGGTGGATTACAGCCAATGTCACCGCACTCAGCTCCCCCCTTTTAATTTACTCTCTGAAGCAGGATAGGCAGTATTGGCGAAATTACTAAGGCCACTCCACGTAGTTAAAAGGAAGATTTATTTAGTGGATAACTTACAAATGAAGGGATAGGTAGGTCGCAGGGTCTGGGGAAGGTGTATCGCAGTCCAGCAGTGTTCTCTGGAGCTCTGCTCCGTCAACCTCCCTTGGCCCCGCCTTGTAGGTGTGACAGTTGCCGAAGCCTCAATGGGGGTTGGAACTTCCAGATCAAAGCTGGAATGGTTACCCACTACATCTCCCCCTTTTTGTCTAAATAAGAAGGTTCTAATGTAATACAAGACTATATACAAAGGAAGGGTTATCAAATGTTGTCCAGGAATAATGAGGGATAATGACCTAGATAAGATGGAACTACAACCAATGCAAACAATATCAAGGAAGAAACACATACCAAAATCCAGAGAAGTCTAGAGCATAGGTAAATGGCATGTTACAAAGATCATTCCAAAAGGTGTCCTATCCTAAAGAACCTGAATCTAATACTTAATATGTTCTATTTAAGACATTATATATATATTAAGTTGTAACTATAACTGCTAGTCTTCAATCCCATCAAAGACCTGAGAAGGAATATAATGGTACCTGAGAAATGGTAGATGGATGCAAGCAACTTTTGGGAAACTTGCAAGAGTAGACCAGTAGACAACTGGCAGCCTGGACAGTCACCTAATGTTTCTCAGCATTGTTGGTGCATTCAAATTGGCTACAGGCTTATAGTATTTGACAGACCATTTTCAGAAGCAGGAATTCTGAAAGACCATCTTACCCTGTCTTGGCAGAGTTCAGAAGTCACTTTTCCTTGTGTCCCGCTCATCCAGAAAGGACAGCATTGCATTTGTACTGTCAGCAGTCGAGGCAAGGGCAGTTCTTTGCCCAGTAGGCCATTTTGTGCCAAGAAGACAAACTTCCAAATGGAAATGTCTTAGAAGCCCAACATTCTCTCGGGATCAAATTGGTGCTGCCAGGAGCAATTGTGTCTCATGTCAACAGAATTCTAAGTTATTTCAATGCCATATTCTTTTTTTTATGCTCCTATAGTCCAACACACACCTCTAGGTAGGCTGGGGGCGGCCACTGTTTGAGCCCCAGATGAAAAGAACTCATTTTAAATTTAAAATCCTCAGATTTAAAGTCAAGAGTCACAACAGAGAAAGCAGGTCTCTCCATTTTTAAGATGGCACACCAGTCTCAGTGTGAGGATTCAGTAAGACCATGAAGACTCCTCTGCTTGGGAACCATGTTTACCTTGCATACAATGCTGGGCTTCAGTTAGCTACAAGCGCATCATCCAAGCCAAACTGTGAATTAGAAACATGCAGCCCTCTAAAGTTAATTATTTAATTAACTAATTCTTACTGTGTGCACATGGATGATGTGTGTGTCAGGCCATGCATGTACCCTTGCTTGTATGTGGAGATCAGAGTACAACTGTGTGGATTCAGTGCTTTCCTCCTTTATGTGAGTTCTAGGGTTCGAACTCGGTTGCCAGGCCTGAGCAGCAAGCACCTTTACCCACTGAGCTCTCCTGCTGGCCCAGCCTTCCAATTTCTTATCTACACAAGACTGTCGGGATCCTTAAATAAATTCACACTATTCTTAGTCATTCATTAAATCAGTTGGACTTACAGCTCTCAGAATGTTCTCTGGGATGTAGGTCTATCTTTCACATGTCCTAATAGACTTCATTATAATGTTGATACTAGGAACTGATGCCCGTATACAACAAACAGCCAAAAAAAGTTTAACTATTTACTCACATAGGGCTATTAAAGCATCAGTTCTTACATCCCTCCGTCCTTCTGAACAAAATGAAAGGGCTTCCTTTTATCTTAAAGCGTCTGGAAAAATACTAACAGAAAGATATTTCTGAGGAACAAACTGATAATAGAACTATCAGGAGCCCAGGACAACACCCTTCTCAGAAGCACAGGAAGTATGACTAATCTCTCAAAAAGATGAGAGTGAGAGAATGGGAGGCTAGTTCCAAAGCGTGCAAAGCAAACAAACCAGCGGAGAATATCAGCCAGGAGCCAACAGGGCCCACGAAAACCACCATCACGTGCATGCTATCATGCATGTCTGCCATTCTAGCCATCATAAATGTTACTTAACAAACAAATACTTATTGAAGATTCATCATGTGCTCAGCACTGCCATGAAAAGAGGAAACTTTGTACAATATCTATTATTACAAAATAACATTAGTACAAATTAGAAAATAGAAAGTAAGAGATATATTTAAAATATAGAGCAACATAAAGTATAACTGCATATGCATACTCAAGCCAAGACTGCATTGCTCAGGAATTAGCAGGGACAGAGAAGCTAGATTCTGAACGCTAATATAGTCATGTAATTTATTAATCGTCATCATTGCCGTCACCACTGCAATGCTGGGAATCAACCCCACGGCCTGACACTTGCAAGGTTCTACCACTGAGCCGCATCCCCACTCCTGGGTCAGGAAGGCAAAACATGCATAAGAAAGGCAAAGGATGTGTGTATGACAGGCGTTTGCACATATGTATGGATGAATGTGGGTGCGTGTACACCACAGCACACATCTGAAGGCCACAGCACACATCTGAAGGCCACAGCACACATCTGAAGGCCACAGCACACATCTGAAGGCCACAGCTCACATCTGAAGGCCACAGACAGGGTGCTTCTGGGAGTTAGTTTTTCCTTCCATTCTGAGTTCTAGGGACTGAACTGAGGTCAATGGGCTTTTGTGGCCCCCTGGGCCATTTCACTGGCCCATATTAGTTCAATAAGAACTATTTAAACAAATCAGAAGAGAAAATAAACCTTATTCTTATGCAAACCCCCCACCTCCCCCCACCCCTGCTGGATTTTTTGTTTTGTTTTGTTTTTCGAGACAGGGTTTCTCTCTGTGTAGCTTTGGCACCTTTCCTGGAACTCAACTCTGTAGCCCAGGCTGGCCTTGAACTCACAGAGATCTGCCTGCCTCTGCCTCCCGAGTGCTGGGATTAAAGGCGTGGGCCACCACTTCCTGGCCCTTGCTGTATTTTTTATCTTTTGTGCCTGGCATGCACATGTGGGATCCTAAACTTGTGTGCAGGGGCCAGAGGTTGAAGTCAGATGTCTTCCTCTATTTCTGGCAACATCATTTTTTTAGACTAGGTATCTTGTCACAATCAGCTCCCTACTGCCTATGATGGCTGGCCAGTGAGCTCCCAGGATCCTCCTGTCTCTGCTTCCAGTGCTGACTACAGGGTCATGGTCCATACCCAGCCTTTATGTGAGTGCCAGGGATATGGACTCAGATCTCCATTTTCTCCCAGCAAGCATTTCACAGTCACTGAGTCTTCTCCTTAGCACTTACAGCTTTGAAAAAATACTATTCTTTTGTATTACATGAATGTAGCCAGTAACACATTAGAAAACTAAGACCTAACGGCACTCAAGCTGCCTGGAGACACAGACTACTGTAAGGGGAGGGGCCGGAATTCCAAATATTCTTAGGTCTTTTTGCTTATCTTTGAGACAGGGTCTCTACATAGCCCTGCCCGGCCTGGAACTTGCTGTGTAGACCAGGCTGGCTGTGAACTCCCAGAAAGCCACCTGCCTCTGCTTTCTAAGTGTTGGTACTAGAGGTAAGTGTCACCAAGCCGGGTCTGTATTTTGGGATCCTAAGTTTGTCCCATTTCTATTATATTTAGAGTCAAGCAGATGGAGTCAAGTCCTTAAAGGTGACAAGAAGAATACTGCTTCAAACTCTGACATATGTCAACCTAAATCTTCACATAGACCGATAATGAGAGTGCAAGCCAGGGCACCTGACCCAGACAGTGGGACTGGACAGGGCCGTCACGAACCAGCGCTTACATGAACTAACGCCCGATATCCAAGTCTCTAAGAACAAGGTGGTTTTAAACAGGTAAGAAAGGAGAGAAAGGCATTGTAGG